TCTTAAGAGTGCCTTCCTTCACGCTGAGCTTCTGTGCAGTTTTTGCTTCTTAAGTGCTTTCTAAATTAGTTGACACTAATGTCTCCCTTCACCTCTCACCTAACTCTAATGGCTTCGAAAATCAGCCTAGCCTCACCCAAATGCTAATCTAATGGGCAGATAGCACCGGACTTCTACGTGCAAATCAGGATAAAACAGCAAAGGTGAGCCAGTGACACGACCCATCTGAGTTATGATTAACTGGTTAACATGACAAACACGTAACACCCAAACTCCCTTCATCCAGAAGAAAAATCTAGAAACTATGTCACCTTTTTAATATGAGCGCAGTGATGTTTGTAAGGTTAATGATTAAGAATCATTGCTCTGGAACAGAATATATAGCTCAGTAGAACAGCATAGGTATGCTTCCATTCCAGCACCCTCCCCCGCAGAAAACACTGCTTTGGAGGTTTAAAAAATTATATATATATATGAATCTATATATGAATCTGATGGAATCCATAGACTAGTCCTAGAAATACATATATGCACAATTCTGTAAGAAAGTTAAGAGTATGTGTGTCCCTTCCAAACACCACTCCCACTACTCCTCTAAGTCCAAGCAAAAATTTAAATCCTGACCTAAAATATTCTTGGTTGGAAATTTCCACTTTTTAAAAAGCTGTACTATTCATGCAGCAATCCTACTGAAGCACTTTCTACGAAATCACTAAAAGTAATAGCTATTATTTTTTTCAAAGAATAGTTTAGAACCTTAAGAAATGAGGTCATTTCAACTAGTATCCCACAATACTTTCTATCATCTTTAAGAGATTCCAGGAGCGGGCTGCTGGTCCTATGAGTGTGAGCGCAAGCAGAGACACAGCTGGGGCCACTGAGTCAGGTGGAGTTGAGGCAATGGGCGAAGCTTACTCCAACCTGGGTGCAGGCAGGCCAAGGGCGGTAAGACCATTGGCCCAAGGGTCAGGGTGGGCGCTTGTAGGGGGTTTGGATAGAGGAGGGGTATGCAGGGAGGAATGGGAAATTTTTAGTCTGGGCCTGGGGGCGTTGGGAGTCTTGGTGACATCTTGCAGTTGCAGCTGCCTAGCGTAGTTGCTTGTGATCTTCTTCGGCAAGCTCTGGCTCCGTATCTCTGTGCCTCAGCAGATGCGAGCAGGGAGTTCTTCCTTCTCTGTCCGGGCGGGGGTCTGATATTCCTGCCCTTTTATTATAAAAGAAAAAGGCATAAAAGATGGGGAAGTCAGACTAAGTCTGTCATGGCTACTTCTGGGATGGCAGGCAGGGTGGACACACTGTCTAGAAAGGCATCGAAAGAGAGAACATGAGAGGCTGGTGTTGCAGCCTTGTTGGAAGTGCTATTTATTGGGAGGTCATTATTGTCTTGCTGTCATTGCTTGAACCTGGTTTTGAATAAAGTTAGTTAAAAATTTTTATGAGGCAGGGCTCGAAGGGGAGGATTATCACCACTGTGGGGCCTGAGATTGGCATAAGTCAGATGGTCCAGCTGTTCCAGGAAAATGGCCAGAAATCAGCCAGCTAAGGGCAGCTGCAGCTTCCAGGGGTTTCCGGGGGTGGAACTGTGTGGTATGCATAGGGCTGCTCAGGAGTCTAGGGTGATGTTCTCTGCTGTGGGTCCCTGCTTTACCCAAGGGTGGGACAGCTGTCAGGCTGGGGCGGGGTGGGAGGGGGGAGGTTGGTGCAAAGGCAAGAGAGGTCTCGGGCAGAGGGGGTCAACGCAGGAGGACTCCTAGTTGGGGACGGCGATGAAGGAACCGAGGCTGGGGACAGAAGTTCTGCGGGGTCACAGGAGGAGCAGAGAGGGACCTGCAGAAGAGCACGAAAGCGCCTGGACATGCGGACCTTGGGCTGATCACCCATGCGCTGACAACAGCTGTGCAAACCTCAGAATGCAGGGATAAGCGTGTCACTAGGTGGCAGTGGGATTTACTGTTTCTTTGAGTGCCCAGGCCGACTTACAGAGGATTTTGAGCTGTTCTGGTTTCAGGTCTGGGAGCGCGGAGCAGTGTGGGAGCTTCTAGAACACATCCAAGAGGGGAGGAGGTGGGCGCTAAGGAAGAAGACTGCCCTTGAGAGAAACGGGCGCATCAAGAGAAGGAGGGGACATCTCCAGTCCTGTTCCCGTCACAGGACGGAGCGGGAGGTGACCAAGTCGACTGTACTCGAAACTGGGTGGCCGCCAGGGACTCAGGACCGGGGGTGAATGTGACCAGCGCTGGGTTTAAAGGGCACCGCTCAGAAGCCGACCCCAGCCTACCCCGAGAGGCAGGTGAGGCACAGAGGAGAAGGAAGGCAAGAATGAAGAAACCACCAAGGAAAGCAGGAGACTTGCAGACCTGCTGGGGAGGCGTGGACCAGCGCGGAGTCTCAACAAGGGAAGGTCCAGGGCCTACGGAGACAGGACTCTCCTGGGAGCGGCTCTCATGGCCCGGGTCTCAGCACCAGATGTCAGGGTAAACTGAGGCATGACGGTGGCCCGGCACACACCTCAGTCTACCCTAACAAACTACGTGGGCATGCTAAGAGGAAAAAGAGAGGAAAGCAAAACAAGCAGAATGTTTGAAATAATTACAAGGAGGGAAATATACAGTGCTAAGCGGTAATAAATGACACTGGTAATTCAGAGATTTTTTTTTTTATTAAACTGTAAAAAGTAGTCCTCACTTTACAAGCTTGAAATCAGACAAACATATGGAGTATATAATTGATATAACTGATATAAACTATATCACCCAAAGCCTCACTGCGGACACAATCTATATTACATTCAGTGTCTGCATATTTACTCTGCAAAGTAAACACAATCTACCTTTGTTTTATAGTTCAGGACATGTTTCATATAGTTTTAAAAGAAAGATGACCTTTTTCAACCAATTGCCTACATTGTGAAAAATACAGCAAGACTTGCCGGGCTTGGTGGCAGATGCCTGTAATCCCAGCACTTGGAAGGCTGAGGCAGCAGGACTGCTGTGAGTTCGAGACCAGCCTGGGCTACAAAGTGAGCTCAAGGGCAGTCTGAACTGCATAGCAACACCCTGCCTCAAAAAGACAAAAACAAAAACAGAAAACAGCAAGACTAATCATAAAGGTTCCACTTTTAGTTAGGAATCTATGTATCGGTTACTGAACTACAGCTCAAGTTTTAAATTTTAATTATCAAGATAGTGTTACTTCTGATTTACCACTGACCTTAAAATAGTATATATGCTTACATATATGTTGATTTTAAAAAGTCTTCAAAACTTGAATATAATCATGAAAGTATATGTGCCTTACATTCATCCAACAGACATGACTTAATACAAGTCACAAAAGTTTAATTAACCAGAAGTCTGCATCTCCTTCCTGCCTGCTGGGGCTCAGTTGTACATCGGATTGTGTATCAAAAGCAGCAGCTCAGGATTTACTTCTTAAGATCACCCCTAAAAGCTGAACGATGCCATTGCTTATACATATAAATGGGGAGATGGTCTGCACCAGCGCCTCGTGTCAGCAGTATCCGAGGTGGGCCCCGCAGACACACGGGCTCCAGGTCACAACTAAGGCATCGCCATTCAGAACAGCTGTGCTTCCGGCAAAGCTCCCAGGTGAGACTGAAACAGCTGTGCTTCCGGCAAAGCTCCCAGGTGAGACTGAAACAGCTGTGCTTCCGGCAAAGCTCCCGGGTGAGACTGATTCGCAGCGCAGCTCGGGAAACCATGACCCTGGCCACGAGGCCAAGATATAGATCTCATCTTTTAAGGTGCACCAGACCCACTGGGGAACTGGAAAAACACAGAATAAATAAACACACATGTGTTTCAATAGGTCGGGAGTGATGTCCGGGGGAAGCTGCACCTTAGACTTTTTTTCTTTTTTTTTTGGTACCGGGAATCAAACTCAGGACCTTGTGCTTGGCAGGCGGGCGCTTGTGCCGCTGAGCTAGATCCCCGGCCCATCCTGAGACATCTTCATATACAGAAGCACTGAGAGCCGCACTAGAAGGGCACACCCAGCTGTCTCAGGGATGTCGCCCTGGCGCCAGTGAGCCCACCCTGGCCCGCTCAGCAGGGGACAGAGGCGACAGTAACCTTTTCAGGTAAGGTCTTCTTACGTTCTTAGATATAAGGCCTAAGCCAAGGGAATTTTAACACCATCGTTCATTCATTAAAGAAGAAAATGATTCTTTCAAACGAATTCCTTAAACCTCTAAACAGACCGTTCTCTCTACTCCAAATCTAATGCTTCCTCCCCATCAGCCCGCTATGCAGCCGAGGTGGACTCCAGCGCACCAACAACACGACTGGAGCAGATTCGAAGGGACACCTTCCCGGGCTCGTACAGGCCTTGCCTAACGGGGGACCAGCTGGAGGTTAAACACTAAACAGGAGAGTGCAACACACTCTTGATTTAAAACAGTGAAACTTCCTATTTCCCTCACAGCGGGAAAACCTAGAAACCCTGAAGGTACCAGCTGCCCCCGCCTGAGGCCACTTCCCACCTTCCCGCGGAGCCCACCCGACCTCTGCAGTGGTCGTCGGCACATGTCCCTCCCGCGTCTACGGAGTCAGGCTGCACCATCGCCCCAGCTTCAGGCCAAGCACTGGGTAAGCAGCACCACAGGGAGCGAGGCGGAGACTTTGGGAGGAGGACCCAGCCAGCGGCTCGCTCCCCCAGCCCCTCCCCCAGCCCGTCTAAGGCGCGCTTCTTTTCCTCCTTTCCCGTTCTGTCCTGCACTCTCCTCCAAGGGCCGAGGGTGCGTGATGAGACCGCTCACGCGTCCTCCTAACCCGGCAAGGCAGAGGCGAGCGTAGAACATCAGAGCCGCATGACATCAAAGGTATAAAGAAACCAACACCTTGCCAGGCGCAGTGGCGCACGCCTGTAATCCCAGCACCTAGGAGGCTGAGGCAGGAGGATCGCTGCAAGTTCGAGACCAGCCTGGGCTACAAAGTGAGCTCAAGGCCAGCCTGAACTGCATAGCGAGATCCTGTCTCAAAAGACCGAAAAAAGAAACCAAGACCTTCAAAATTACACTCACAGGCGACAAATTCACACTGATTTTGACAATGCAGCCTACATCCTTGTGAGAATCAAAGTTTTCCAGTTCACAAACAACTCAAGGCCAAAATGAAGATTGTATAATAAAGAACGTAAAGTTGAAAAATCACATATAAATATCCAAACCGCGTGACACTGTGTCTGGTGCTTAGAAGGCTTGCTCAGTGGCAGAGACGACGATCCCAGAAGAGGACCCAACCCACCACGGAGGTCTACGCCGGCGCCCCTGCGCCCCAGCAGAGGAGCACAGCCCGGCGCCTCAGGGCCTGTGAGCTGGTCTGGCCGTGAGCTGCTGCTCCCTCTCGAGCTCCCTCTCCCGCTGCTGCTCCCTCTCCAGCTCTTCCTTCTGCCTCTTCTGCTGCAGTTTAAGCGCTCTCTTCTGTGTCGGGAAGAAAAGATTTAAAACTACGAGAACAACCAAAGGTTATGGCCTCATTCAAAAGTAAAAATAGAAGTTCTGAGGTTATTGATACGTACCCCCAAATTTCTTTTCTTTTTTTTTTTTTTGAGACAGGGTCTGGCTATGTAGTTCTGGCTCACCCTGAACTATGTAGCCCAGGTTAGCCTCGAACTCGCAGCAATCCCCGTGCCACAGCCTCCTGAGCGGGAGGATTACAGGCGTGCGCCACCATGCCTGGCCACAATTTCTTATTTAAGTTTCTAAATTCATTCTGGGTAATTTAAGGTCCCCTTGATTTAAAAAAAAATTTTTGCTATTGCAGCTCCCCCTTCCCTTCCTTTCTTCCCTCCCCTCCCCCGCCCTCCTCTCCTGCCTCAGCCTCCCCAGTAGCTGGGGTTATAGGCGCAGCCACAGGGCCAGCTGTACTCCAAACTCTGGCTAAATGGGAACTGCAGCTGCGCAGCTAGGGAACACGAGCCTAGCAGCCAAGCTATGAGCACAGCAGCTCAGGTGGGGTAAAGAAACGACAGTTTGGGGTGCGGCTGCAGCTCAGTGGCACAGAAACTGCCTAGCACCCAGGAGGCCCTGTGCTCTGTGCCCAGCACAGAAAAAGGAGCGAATTTGTGAAAGAAAACAATCTGATCTAAGTACGTTCTTGCAGAGGGAGGTACAGAAAGTCAGCAACGCATCCCGGAAAGCCCTCGCCCAGGCGGACGCGAGCCGCGCTCACCTTCAGCTTGGCGGTCTTCTCGTGCAGCAGCAGCATGTCTTTCCGTATGTTCACCAGCTTGGCATGATAGTGCTTCGCCTCCGCGAACTTCACGGGGAAAGGAACAAAAGGTCAAGTGAGAAGAGACTGAGACGTCAAAGCGGATAAAGACGCCAGTGCCTACGCGGCAGTTCCGTCTTCCTAAACTGACGCTTTCTTTACTCAGAGCCTTAACTAGACCCACATTTCATTCACACTGCAAATTACAACGTTACCGCGACGACTCGGAGGACCTCAGACGCGCTTGATTCACTCCAGACTGACAAGAGTAATCCAACACAAAGCGGGCTTGTCCATTAAACTGGGCGAGGGTAACGCTTTGCTTTACAGACGTGTAACAACCCTGCAGCTGCAAGCCTGCCCGCTGCCAGCAGTTTCATTTAAGAGACAAAGACTCCGCGGCCCTCGTGAGGGAGACACGGAGCCAGGGCACACGGGTCAGCTCAGGCGACACGTCTGCTCACCAGGACAGCCACGCCGTGCCCTGTGAGGATGCGGACACACTTCCTCACGTCCTCCGGAGGGACCCTTGCGCGGTGCGCCCGCCATACCAGAAGATGCAAGAAGGCACCCTCCCAGACAGCGGGAGGGGAAACCCCGGCCCTCAGACGGAGCCGCAGAGACAAGAAAGGGGATGCGGCGCTGAGCGCTCCGCAACCTCAACAGAGCGACGTCTGACTGCGCGGCTCAGGGCGGACCCTCAGATCCACGTCTGCGCTGAGGGAAGCAGAGAGAGCCTCGGACTCAGCTCCTGCCCCTTCGGAGTACGGCAACAGGACGACGTCTGCCTGGCTCGGTCACTGAGCACTCATTCGTTCCGCAAACACCCCGCGTCCTGCAGGATGAACTCGGGCGAACACACAGGTCGGTCAGGGCAGCCTCGCGCACGCCTCACAAGCCAGCAACACGGAGCCGGAGGCGGCACCCACTACCGCGGGCCTCTGCGCGCGGCAGAATGTGGACTCTGTCGTTTCCTGTTACACGAAGACGACACTACCAAGCCACAGCTGTCCAGGGAAAGCCCACTGTCTGACACACCCCCGCCTCCCTCTGAGATCACCAAGTCAATTCCAAAGCACAAGGTCAAAGAAAGGCAGCAGCCAGTTCCCTGTTTTTGTTAATTCTCTTTTCTTAAATAATAGAGTATCGGTTCCTCTCATCAAAACGCTGTGGAATTTCTGATGAAATGCAACTACTCAGCTTCTGCACTGCAAGACACGACTGATCGTTCTCAAAGTCTCCACTCGAACCATGGCGCTAATTTTCTAGGGCATTACAAGTACGCCACACAGTTAAACAACACGCTCCCTTACAAAACCATGAACTGACACTTAACGAGAGACTGTACCCTGCTTAATGCTAAAACAGCACCCCGAAGCTCCTTCCTTCCTGTTCCCTTTTCTGTGTCTAAATTATGAAGAACTCATAAATAAGTTCCATTTCCTTTTACGAGTTCAACATTTGAAAGATAACAGTTCAAGAATACGGAAGTTCTAGTAAAGAAACTCAAGGTGTCCTGTCTAAAAGACACATTCTAAATTTTAAAAATTAGAGGATTAGATCCGAAACATACAAAAGTTGTAATGATAAGCATACACATTTCTAAAATAACACATCATGAGTTTGTATCAATGAAATCATACTTACCAAAGCATTAATATCCAACATTGAATGACATTCTTTAAATTTTGAAATCTCTTGCTCCAGTGTATCTAATAACACAACCTGGTTCTGTCTGAAATGAAAGCATACAGCCAGCGTAAAATTTACAAACTGCAAGTGCTGGTTTGTTAAAAGACGTCTCATTCACCTTGGTTACAACCAAAGGCCAAAAATTAAGTTGGAAATATACTGCCCTTCCAAGGCTTACTTGGCTTAGAATACTCTTTTTCAAAATACTGGAATATAATATTCCAAAGCCACATTCTGACAATTAAATGCATTTTTCATTCTTCCTAAATTTCAGACTCCAATACCTAAAAAAAATTAAATCACTTAAAACATTTTATTGTTATTTTAGTAACTCTCTATATTAACCCCGAAAGTTTTTTTTAATAGTACTTTGCCTAAAAAGCTAGATGTTTTATATATCTTAAAACTGCAACATTCTTGCCAGGTGTAGTGGCACATGCCTGTAATCTCACTACTTGGGAGGCTGGGGCAGGAGGATCACCATGAGTTACAGGCCAGCCTGGGCTCTACAGTGAATTCAAAGCCAGCCTGAACTATGTTGCAAGAGCCTGTCTCAAAAATCAAAACCAAATCGCAACATTCCCATAAAAGAAGCATGACTTCTCTGTTCAGAGCTGGGGAAGATGGCGAACCAAGGGATCCTAAGCAAAAAGGATAAACAAGCAAGATGAAAAAAGCACAGGAGGAAAAATCACAGCACACCTCCCCGCCCCCTCGGGCAGCCAGGGGTGTCATCCTGGAAATTCAGTTTACTTCTCTAGACTAGATGTCCATGTTTGTTTACGCAGTGAAGAGGCTACGGAACCTCTGAGGTTCCTCTTTAACATTCTGACTGCGCTCCTACTAGGATGAGAAGCCAGCGTCCCTGTCACGCCTCTCCACAGCACGCAATGGAAAAATCAAAGACACAGTCACATCCAGGGCCACCTAAATGAAAATTTTAAAGAAAAGCATGACACAGTTTGCTTGCGAAACTGCCACTGAGACAGCAGCAGTGAAAGCGAGAAAGGCCGCAGGGACCTGAAGCCCCAGCGCCGTGCACGCCTAGCGCTGACGGGCGCTGCATGGCCCCGAGTGTGCGCCTCGTGCACGCGGAGACCACAGGGAAACACAGAAGGCAAGGAGACGGCAAGTGCCCATGACGTCAGCAGACGTGGACTCATTCACGGAAAGACACAAACCATGCACACTCACGCAGGGAGTTAAGTAATAACTTTCCAAAAGAGAAAGTACCAGAACCAGGTAGCTTTCACCGGTGATGTCGACCAAGCACTTAAGAAACAATACCAATTCTCCATAATCTCTTCCAGGAAATAAAACACGTCCTCACTCACTCTGAGGCAAAACCAAACACAGACAACACAGCAAAGACATACTACAGGCCAGCATCTCTCATGGGCATGGATGCAAAATCCGCAACAAAGGCCGAGTGTGGTAGCACACACCTGCAACCACAACACTCAGGAGGCTGAGGCAGCAGGATCGCAAGTCTGAGACAAACCTAGGCTACACAGCAAGCTCAAGACCAGTCTGAAATACACAGCAAGACCTGGTCTCAAAAAAAAAAAAAAAATCCTCAACAAAATATTAACAAATGAATCTAACAATGTGTAAGAAAAATGATATACCACAGCTAAGTGGGGTTTACATTAGCTCTGTGTGTATACAACTCTAGTTCTTCATTTGAAAATCAGTGTCATCCACTACATCAACAAGCTAAAGAAAAGAAAAAAATACAGACCATACCAATTGATGCAAAAAGAAAGCATTTGACAAAATTACCTCTACTCATGATTAAAAACATCCTCAACAAACTAGGAATAGGGACTTCCTCAACTTGATAAAACATAAAAAAGCCCAAGGTAACTCTCACACAGTGAGAAAGCAGACACTTTCCTCCTCAGATCAAGAACAACGCACACCACTCTCTCTAACGCCCTACTCGGCATGTCCCAGAGGTCCTCACCAATGAATAAGGCAAGAACATAAAAGGTACAGACTGGGAAGGAAGAAATAATACTGTCCTTGTTCCCAAGTGACATGACTTCCTATGTGGAAATTTCCAAAGGATCAACAAAAAAAAATCTCCTGAAACAATATCCAGTTACAGCGAGGCTGCAGAACAGGAGGTGAAGGTACAGTCAGCGGCCTTCCTACGCACCAGCAATTTGAATGTAAAAAGCAGTACTATATATAAAGCCTCTCCCCCAGTGAAATAGTTTGGTATAAACCCAACAAAGTATGTACAGGATTAATATGTAAAAACCACACAACTCTTGGGAAAAAGTCAAAATCGACCCAGGACTGGGGATGTAGCTCAGTGGTAGAGCGCTAGCCCGGCAGGCCCAAGGGCCTGGGGTCAATCCCCAGCACTGAAAAGAAAAAGAAAAAAATCCAAATAATAGAAAGTTAATCCAAGTACACACATTAAATAATTCAGTATTTTTGAAAAGTGAATTCTTCCTGGCTTGATCTCCAGAGTTGGTGCAGTCCAGTCAAAATCCCAGCAAATTAATCTGTGGCTAGTCATGAGACAGGAGACCGGGGCAGGGGCTAAACGGGTGAAACCCTGGGGGCGATCTGTGCAAGTCAGGAGCCCAGGGCACAAGCACAGAACACAGGACCTGGATGACTCTGCGGTTCCTGAACGCTGCCCACGGGGCCAACCAGAAAAGGGCTACTTTCAGTTCTTCATTTACACCTGGCACAAAACCAAGGAGGCTTCAACAGGACAGTTTAAATCTGGCACCAAGTGAGCTTTAGCCAGGACTGTTGTCCCCTTGTTTGCAGGAAGACGAGGCCAATCTAGGAATTCCAGATATAGGGGCCCCTCGCATATCCTGTGGCCTCCGGGAGCCTTTGCATCCGCAGAGCAGCTTCACTTCCGTCTTCCAGACATGTACCTTTCTGTGTCTTGTCCACTTTCCAGTTCTTTGTTCAGGACATCAAGAACCTGGGGAGAATTTCCCTGGGAGCCAGAAGTCAGTAACAGTAACAAACTCTAAAGTTCATTCTAAAGTTTTCATACGGTTCTGACAAAAGGTTGGAAGACTTACACCGCTCAACCTCAAGACTTAGAAAAGCTACAGGCATCCAGACGGCATGGCGCTGGCCCAGACAGCAGACCAGCGATCCACAGGACGGAGCACAGAGCCCTCACACTGGCCAACACAGACAAACAGTCAACGGCCTCGACAAAGGGGCCCAGGCGATGGGAGAGAGAAGGGCCTCCCCACAGCGGTGCTGAAGGAACTGTGCGCAAAGAGACGGAGGCACAGACTTTACACGGTCATAAAAGCTAACTCAAAACAGGTCCTGGAGCTAAGTGCAAAAAGCACAACCAAACCTTCCAGGAGAAAACCTAGGTGACCTTGGTTTGGTGATGTTTTCAGATAAAATATCAAAAGCGTGATCCATAAAAGAAAAAACTGATCAGTCAGACTTCATTAAAATTAAACTGCTCTGAAAGACAATGTTACAAGTATGAAAAGACAAACTACAAACTTGGATAAAATATTAGCAAAACACATAAAGGACTTGTGTCAAAAGTTTACAAAGAACTCCTGGAAATGACCTGAGTAGACATCTGTCACTTAATAAAGAATCTGTCCGGCCTTTGTCCAAGGTTCCTGGCACTGAGCCTCTAAAATCCCCAGAATTTCACAAAGGACAGGACTGTCCGTTGTTCCGGAGCACCGTAGGACCTACTTGCATTTATGCTTGGGGGTGACCCGGGCGTGGTAGGGCCCCAGGGCTTCAGGATGGGGGCTGTGCTGCCTGAAAAGTCAGCCACACAGTAAGAAGGTTGGGGCTTTGAGTCCTGTGATATCGGCCCAGAAAAATGAAGCTAAAGACTGAGCTCAGGCTGGGGATATAGCTCAGTGGCATAAGCCCTTGCCTGGCAAGGCTGAGGTCATGAGTTCGATTCCTGGTACCAAAAAAAAAAAAAGACTGAGCTCAATTCGGTGGGCAATGACTCACGCTATCATGCCTGCATACTGAAACCTCAATAAAACTTAGGGACAGTCGGGTCAGTGGAGATTCCTGATTAGTGCAACTGGGCGAAGTTTCACACCTCAGCACGGCCTTGCTTCACTTGGAGAGGGCGCCGAAGCTCGGGCTGGGGTCCTCTCAGCATCTCATCTTAGCCTTTACAGTAAATCTGTAACTCCAAGCACAGCACTTTCTGGAGCCATGGATCTAGGCCTGTGTCTTCTGTTCATCTCTGCAGCCTCCTCTATGTAGAATGGTACCCCACGTTTTCAAGGCGGTTTCTGACCTCCCTTCAGTCTATCCAAACCCCCGCAAAATCTTCACGGCTTTTCTGCCTCCAGGACTGACTGGCATCCAAACACAAAGCATACTGCGCTCCAAAAGTGAGTTGGCAGAGAATCAAGAACGCTGCCAAGTTCCCAGCTAGGACCGGGCACCACAGGGCACCACTCTACCCTCCGTGAGCACCTCAAAGCCAGCAGTCACAGCACTACTTACTAATAATTGTAAGGTAGCTACGGTTATTGGTCAGTCCTCTTCATCTGCCCTAGAAAGACTTCTGAAGTAAGTTTTCAAAGGGCAGGTCTTACAGCAGAAGTCTAGACAGGAGTTGGAGGTATTTCTTAGAAGAAACCACTCCCAGAATATCACTTCCCTCTGTACATCGAGATCACTATGCACACCTCCATTCCCAGAAATACTCACGATTAAATGTTCCGCAGTATTATGTTTTAACCCTGTACATAACTACAAGGTCAGTGACTGCACTGGAGAGGAAATGAGTCGCTTACGTGAGCTCCTGCAGGGCCTGCTTTGATCTCTGCAGGTCTGGCAGGTAGTGAGACAGCAAACCCTCCGCCAGCTGCTCCACGGCTCTGCCTTCCACCACCACGTCCTCTGCCAAGCCTTCATCCGGAGAAGCGTCACGCAGCCCTGTTCCAAGCGAAAGTGAGACAGAGGAAGCTATTAGATCGCTAAAGGAGGTTGGGGAGTCCTAAGCAGGAAGGACGGAGTGGGTAACCGTTACTAAATCATTCTTGTTTTCAAAACCATGCAGAAATTATATAAACAAAAACTGCAATACCAAAAAATCTGTTTTCAACTCTACAGAAACAAAAATATGGGTCAACATTTATTTCGCCTATAGCTTTTTATGTAGATAAAAAGAGATGTCCTTTTGTCATTTGTTAGGGAGCGAGATTTTTAAAGAATTTCTCCCCTGTTTAAATTCAGCACTTTAGTGAGGCGTGGTAGCACACATCTATAATCCCAGCACTTGGGAGGCTGAGGCAGGAGGACTGCTGTGAGTTTGAGGCCAGCCTGGGCCACACAGTGAGTTCAAGGCCAGTCTGCACTACAGAGAGGCCCTGTCTCAAAAAATAAAAAATAAAAATTCAGCATTTTCATTTCCCACAGCAGACAGTACACAAGAGGTTATCAATACATATGGCAAATGTTTAAATTTTAAAAATTTATTATAGAAAAGAGCACACTGCGATGAATCACCTCAAAATCCACCCCCCTGCTCGAACACTCATCCCATCACTCTTGCGGCTTGCTGAAGCAGCTCCAGAGTCCTTCCATGTCTTTACAAGGTGTGATCAAAAACAGGGCCAGCGCCGCAAGCGCCACCAACAGAAAGACAGGCTTGTCATAACCTGACACCGTGTCCTCCTCCACCTTCACAAGTGTAAATTCTGCTAAGAGTGAAGAGCCCACATGCCATCCTACTCCAAGGAAGCTTTTCAGAAAGTCGAAATATAACTTTGTGTTTTTACTTTAAATCCGAAAAACACACAAAGTTGGAATTATTAAAGTTGCAAGGCAATATTCAAAGCAGAAAGAGCTAACTAGAAACTGAAACACTCCATGCATGAACTAAAAATATAATGGGAAAGAAGGGGCACGTAGGCCACCGTCGTGCCTTGGGAGGGGAAGGAAATAAATCTGACAAGTGACTCCATCACTTACGGCTTCATTACAATAAACACCAACCTCAGGTACATAGACAATACATGGTATTACAGAAGAACAGACAGAAACACCAAAATAAGGATAGTTGCACTTTAAGGCATAATGATTAATTTACTCATTCAGACTGCGTGCGTGTGTGTGTGTGTATGTGTGTGTGTGTGTGTGTGTGTGTGTGTGTGTGTTGAGACAGGGTTTCACTGTATAGCTCAGGCTGGCCTTGAACTCACTATGTAGCCCACACTGGTCTCCAACTCACGGCATCCTCTTGCCTCAGCCTCCTGAGTGCTAGGCTTACAGGCGCATGCCATCACATGAAGCTCCACTTTATATATATATATACATATTCATTTTAACTCAAGGATCTTTTTCTCCCCATCCTATTCTTATGGTAATTATTGAGTTAAGTCTCAGTGTTTTCATAAATATTTAGCTATTAAAAACCAGGTAATGCTGGGCATGGTAGCACATGCCTGTAATCGCAGCACTTGGGAGGCTGAGGCAGGAGGATCACCCAGAGTTCGAGGCCAACCTGGGCTACAGAGTGGGTTAAAGACCAGCCTGAACTACATAGCAAGCTCCTATCTCAAAAAAATACATACATACATACATACATACATACATACCAGGTAACTTACTGTGGGAGTTTAAAGAAGAAACTGTCCTTACCTCATTCATACAAAAACATTTCCTGAACATCTATACCAAGCGCCAGTTTCTGAAGTTTCAATAAGTAACAAGGCCCTTTCCTAGAAGGGATGACACTGGAGCATCATAGAGCAGGACAAATGCCTTGACCGAAACAGAAACTATTACATAAGTCTGGGAATGTCTTTTAAATGGAAATGCAGTCATTTGAGGTGAGGCTTAAGGAATGAGGAGTTTCTTCCTTCCTTCCCTTAAGTGTTACTCATTGTTAAAACCCTAAGGAGCACAAGCTGAAAAGTAAAGCCTCTCTTACCCTTGACTCCAAATGGAGTTGTCCTGGAGATTCTCACAGCCTTCAGAAGCTGTCTTTGCATGGCCATGCAAACAGTCCTTAGCACACTTCATGCTCTTCTGTGGCCCAGCTGGCCTTCTACAGCAACATCTATGGATCCTGCATTCTTTTTAACAGAATTCTACCACAGTATTCTTTGTCTTGCTTTGTTTTGGTGCCGGGAATCAAACTCATGACCTCAAGCTTGCCAGGCAGGCGCTTATGCCGCTGAGCTATACCCCCGGCCCTCTATCATAGTTTTTAAAACCAGTCCCCTATGGATGAATTATCTGCACCTTCTGCTATTTCAACCAACGCTGTTCTTCGCTTCCCAGCTAACCTCTGCGCATCTGTCACAAATCCTGTGGGATCGATTCTTAGTAGAGAGCTGGGACCAAAGGCCTGCACATTCTCTAAACAGACACTGCAAAACTGCGCCCCGAACACGGCACCACTGTACACTCCCACCAACAATCTCCTGGTGGTCTACTTCCAAATGGGTAAGAATTCTATGCGAGAACTGGAGGGGATGCAATACAGGTAAAAGAAGACAGGTGAGCACAGGTGGGAATGTAGATTCACACTGACAGCTGAGGCAAGGTGCGCTGGCAGGGGGCACACGCAGCATGCAATCATTAGGCATAAAACCAAGCAGCCAGCCCACAGCACCACTGAGTCCCACGCTAGTGGGCGTGGTTACTTAGCAGGTGGCCCTCCACTTAAAGGTAGTGAACAGGGGAACGACATGGCTACAGCTTGACCTTGAAGCAGTGATGCAACAGCAGTGGGACGGACTGGAACAGTACAAGCCTGGGGGTGGGGTAGCCTTACAACTGCAGGGGAGTTAGAGATTAATTAAGAGGGAGAAAGACAGGGGAGATGAAAATGTACAGGAAAATCCCCACACTCAATATGTAAAGGCACATTTGTAGAACCGCAGATTTGTAGGCATATTACAGCAAAAGTCAGAAACCAATTCATAGCCTGTGACTATACTCGCGCTGCCTCTTCCGTAGATACTCAGCCTGGGCTGTGTACTTCTCTGATAATGCGCTGGGCCAACCTGACTGTGTCCAGCTTGTGTTTTCCTTAGTTAGAAAATATATTTTGTTTCCAACTTGCTTCAAGGACTTCATGTCTGGGACAGACTGACCCAGTCAAGGACCCATTTAACTCTATTTGCTCCGCTCACACCGCCTCCCCTCCTTCCCTGAACGTTGAACAATTCCTTTTAAGTAACCCTGCCTGACAATATATGACGTAATTCTGGTTTTCCAAGTAACCAATCACGTAACAACCTGCTACCAGCTTCGTACTGCCCACTCGCAAACCCTATTTAAACTGAGCTCAAACCTGAGTCTGGGCTGGTGATTTGAACCCCTGGCTTCCCCCGCGCGCGAGTGTAATAAAAGTTGCCTTCTAACAACTGCGCAAAGAGTCTCCATTTGGTTTGATACTGGTTTCTGGGCTACAAATAAAGGACCGAGGAAAGGGAAAGGGCCCAGCGCAATTTCAAAGACTCAAAGTAGAGTAACTTGGCCCCTTTAGCAGATCAGACATCTGTCGTTCTATGTCCGGGCCGTGTCAAAGCAGCCCGCAGAGCAGCAAGCCAGAGTGCGGGAAAGGCCCGCGGGCTCCCTGCGAGGGGCGCTGTGTGCAGCAGCGACTTAGGAAGCTGTGAGGAGGGAGAGATCGCCGAGGAGACCAGCACCAAAACAGCGCAGAAGGCCCTACTGGGGGCAGTGGGTCCCGCGCAGACAACGCCTCGGACCGCTCCCTCCCGGCTTCCGTCCCGCCCGGCCCGCCTCGCGCGCGGACACAGCCGGCCGCCATGCCGCGTACACCTCGGGGACCCGGGACCCCGGCCCGGCCCGGCCCCGCCTGCAGCACGTACCCAGCGTTGGCTCGCCGGGCGGCCCGGTCGGGATCCCGTCTGGGGGCGGTGACCCAGGGACATTCATGTCCCTCCCGCTGGGCCCAGGGAAGGGGCACCCGGGAGGACCGTCTGAAGCCGGAAGGAGGAACCCTCAGCCGCCAGCGCCGGGCCGGACCAAAGCGGAGGCCGCACCCGGAAGTGACGAAGACGGAAGTCGGCGGACTCGCGTTACCTGGCAACCGTCAAGCTCAGACGTGAGCTTCCGGGCGCTGGGCGGGGAAGACTGGAGGTCTCCGTAGTATCCCTGTATCGGTTTTGGGAAATTAAGTGCATCGGGTGGTGGCGGAGAGCGCGAGAGCGCGGGATTGGCGCGGACAGGCCAGCTTGGTTCCCTGAAGCTACGGGGAAGGCGGAGTTTTCAGTATTGTGACCTTGTTAAGAAAAACCTTTAGAGTGCCTGGCGTGGTGGTGCAAGCCTGTAATCCCAGCACTCGGGAGGCTGAGGCAGGAAGATCACTGAGTTCAAGACCAGCCTGGGTTACGTAGAGTTCACGGCCAGCCTGAGACCTTAAATAGAAAAGGTCTAGTGGCTAGCAGCTGTCTCAAATAGAAAAAAAAAAAAAAAAAACCTTAAGAACAAAGGCTGCCTGCTCTCCCTGCGATTTGAGACTATTTTTAAAAACCTTAGTTTCCAGCTCTGTGTGGCTTACAACCTCGCTAATTGGGTTTTCCACGATTCAGTCTTTCCTTAATTGCAGGTGATCAAGCCTCCGCGGCAGTATGTACTGAACAAATTCAGTGAAATTACTGAAACCACACTTGCTGAGATGTTGTGGGATGATGTCACGAACTTGACAGAAAACGGGCAGAGGAAGCCCCAGACCAAGTAAAACGATTGTCTGCCTTGCCTGCCGTAGACCCACTCATCTAGACTTCCGTAGCCTCCTAAAGGTTGCTCCTCAATATTGCCTGTTTAAAAAAAGAATTATGTGACGCCTCAGAAACGCAGTTTCCCAATTTCCCTTATTAGTACATTAACACTTTTTCTCTTCTGCCACTTTTCCACTCAATATTAGCTACTTATAGTACATATCTTAAGGAAATAATGATCTGTCAAAGATGTCTCCAGTGATACTTGTTTTTTATTCATTGTAGCTAGAGTTAGTGTGGGCGGGGATTACCAAAACTGACAGACAAGTGTGTGGTACGGAGAAGAGGCATAGATGGAAGCCATAAGTATAATAATGACTGGGCCACACAGGAACTAAAATAAGTGTCGGATTCTGACTTAAACTCTGCCACCAGATACAGCTTGTCACTTGCCGCTCACTGATAGGGTTTGATACGAGTCTACAAGCAACTGATTGATTATGGTCTCTGAGCAGTCAGACTTCTTTGCTAATGTTAATCCACATTTGCGGCTGCTGCCCAGAGCTGGCGTGCCTCAGGTTCCCCTCTGAGCATCAGGCATATGAGTCCCACAGGGCACGTGGCGCAACCCAGATCCCTCACAGGCGCAGTTGGCGGTAGGGTTCAGGGTCTTGTAAGACTCTAACATCACCACTGATCTGACAGAAGGTGGACTCAGGCCGTGGTACGGCAGTGGCGAGCAGCTGTAAATACCGATGGAGCTTCATTGAGTTCCCTGCCACTCATCCGGGTCCTAACAGGCCGTGGATAGGTGCTGGTCCTTGGTGCAAGTGCGGGGGATCCCACTATAGAGGGTTAAAAAGGAACAGGGGGAGGGAAGAGAAGGGATTACTCTTAGTTCCTATGTGCAAGAATTTGTAATATACTATCTATTCATACCAAAATTAGTAAGCATGACGTTAGAGTACCATATTACACTGGGTGTAGTGGTGCACACCTGTGATCCCAGGACTCAGGAGGCTGAGGCAGGAGGATTACCATGAGTTCAAGGCCAGCCTGGGGTACGTAGAGAGCTCAAGGCCAACCTGAACCATACAGCCAGACTCTGTCTCAAAAAAAAAAAAAAAATATATATATATATATTTATTTATATATATATATAACCAATCTGGAGCATTATAAAGGCCATAATTGTGTTAATTTTCTGTTATTGCTGTACCAAGTTACTATAAACTTGGTAGATTAAAACAACATAAATATACTATTTACTAACTTACTACTCTGGAACAACCCAGTCCATTGTATGACAACCAGCATCAAGGTGCCATGACCCCCACCAGCCTGTCCTTAAAGGTCGTCCTGTCCCCCCAGTAGCACCCAGCTGGAGACAAATCCTGTAAGAGACACCAGATCCAAGCTATGGCAAAGGCGGACGTCCAAGGGGGTTGCATTGTTCAGCCCACAGAGATGTGTGATTGCGGAGTGCACAGTTGGGGAGTAACAGGAGGAAGTTTAGAGACTTCATACAGAAAGCAGACCTTGAAGAACAGATGAAATGTAGTCTGTAGAGAAAAAACAGTGAAGTCTTGCAGGAAAAAACACCAAGTGCGAGAGAAGTGTGCTGCAGACAGGAGGGGCTCAAGGCATTGTCTTCTGGCGAGGATAAAACACGGATTGAGTGGTTATTAGAATAAACTAATAGAAAAAGGTATGACATAGTCCGTTAGAACAAAGGAATTGAAGAAGACACAAGATAACCCGAAATGTTGTACAGCAGTAAGCTCAGAGAAACATCCAGAAAGAGTTACACACAGTACATAAATGCATAGCAAAAACAGGTGTTGGATTTCAAGGACTTTGAAACTCAAGTAAGGAAGAGCAGTTGTAATACAACAAATACATCATAACTGTTCCCCCCCCCTTATCATTTGATAAGTTTCTGAACTTTTTTTTTTTTTTGGTATTTTTTTTTTCTGGTACTGGGAATCGAACTCACAACCTCGCGCTTGCCAGGCAGGCGCTGTGCTGCTGAGCTAAATCCCCAGTGATAAGTTTCTTTATAAGCCAGTTAATATATATTTTTCTACATAGACCACTATAAAACAAAAAAATGAGACTCCTTTTTTAGACAAGACAACTTCTGGGCTTCAGCAAGATGTGGAAACTTTTCTTGCAGAATTTTCTGTTCCTTTTTCTCCAAATGTTTGTTTCTTGCTTCAGTGCAGGCGTGTTTCTCAGTTCTCAGTCTGACAAAATGATCGACATAAAGCATTGCAAAGAATAATTTCCTGCTGTACCTTTTATTTGTATCAAGGGATAGGCCAAAAAAAAGGGATAAGCCACTGCTTGAACTTGTACCAAATGACTTCCAAAGATGTCTCTTCTCCAAGCACCAGGGCTAGCTCGTTTCTGCCCAGTCTGGAGAAG